ATCTTTATTATAACTTTTCTATGTTTAGATATGTTGAGATACACAAATACTTATCATTGTATTCTATAAAGTAACATGCTATACATGTCTGTCGCCTAGGAGTAATACGGTAGACCATATAGCCTCCATTTATACTGGGGTATACCATCTAGCTTTGTGTAAGTACACTCTATGATGTTCACACAATGACAAAAAATCACCTAAGGATGCAGTGCACTTCTTATAATGTATGCCAGCCGTGAAGTAATAAGTGACTGTATAAACCATTTAACCATTTGCTAATCACTAAATGTTGCATACTCACAACCAACATTTGCATCCTGCTTTAACATTTGCTATTAAGTATGTTCACATTATTATAATATTTCTTTTGATGTTTCCCATAGGTCTTTGAAGTCAGTGGGGCAGGTGTCTTCATTTGCCACATTTTGCAGATGACAGAAAGGTTAGGTGACATGGCCAAAGTCACACAAGTACTAAGAAGTAGCATAGGGATATGAGCCCCAGTGCTCTGATTTTATATCTAAGCAACTTAATACCATGCTGTAACAACATGAATAAAGAAGAAACATCAAGTTACAAACCCTGTAAATATTGATCTAAAAGCCCATGTATGATTATAAACCTTTACTTAACTAGCATTCTCTTTGTCACTTTCAAGAAACTGTTGAAGCTATGTTCTATGCTTGATGTCTACATTTTCCAGGTGTCAAATATCTGAGACCCACCTAGCATTCACCTGTCTTCTATGAAGTGTTAACTGCCACTGTAACCTTCACTTTCTCTCTGAGAGCAATATTTTTATTTTTATTTTTTGAAACGGAGTTTCACTCTTGTTGCTCAGGCTGGAGTACAATGTCATGATCTCGGCTCACTGCAACCTCCACCTCCCGGGTTCAAGCAATTCTCCTGCCTCAGCCTCCCAAGTAGCTGAGATTACAGAGGTGCACCACCACACCCAGCTAATATTGTTGTATTATTATTAGAGACTCAGGTGATTCACCCACCTCGGCCTCCCAAAGTGCTGGGATTATAGGCGTGAGCCACCACACCAAGTCTGAGATCAATACTTTTTCCTTTTTGTTTTGTATTATATAATGAGAGACTGCCCCTCTTACTTTATATTCCTTGAACAATAAGGACTCCTAAACATTACACATCTAAAATGATATATTAACACAGGATTTTTTTTTCAGTAAAGAAAAAAACAATTTCCCTAGTAACCAGGTTGCTATAGTCTCTTAGCAAGCTCGGCCATTATTGCTGAATGCTCAAATCTGTCTTATTCTTCTTAAGAAATTCAATGGTGCTATAAAAATAATTTTTAAGGCCGGGTGCTATGGCTCATCCTTGTAATTCTAGCACTTTGGGAGGCCGAGGTGGGCAGATCACAAGATCAGGCTTTCAAGACCAGCCTGGCCAGCATGGTGAAACTCCATCTCTACTAAAAATACAAAAAAAAATATCAGGGCATGAAGGTACATGACTATTGTCCCAATACTCCTGAGGCAGGAGTATTGCTTGAACCCGGGAGGCAGAGGTTGCAGTGAGCCGAGACTGCGCCACTACACTCAGTCTGGGTGAGAGTGAGACTCTGTTTCAAAAAAATAGTAATTTAAAAAAACAGCTAACCAGGAAGGCATGGTGGTGCACACCTGTAGTCCCAATGACTCAAGAGGCTGAGGTGGGAGAATCTCTGGAGCCCAGGTGTTGGAAGTCAACTTGAGCAACATAGCAAGCCTCAAACTCCTAGAAGCTACAAACTCTTGGTTGTAGAGACAGAAGCTCACTTGTTAAAGTGAGTCTTTCTTGTTAAAGTGTAGGTGCCACCAGGTCTGGAGCACTCCATGCTCCAGGGATCCTAGATTAGTAAGGAATTAACCCATTGGTTATACTTGCCTCAGGCTACTGTTCTCTCAAGTCTCCAGTGGCTCAGTCCCCCAACCTGTATCAGTCGTTGACTGGGTCTCTGCCTTCTCTTTGGGCATCAGGTTTCAGGTGTATGGCTTGAAATGAGCTAACTTCTTAATAAATCACTATTCTTTTCATTGACACCTCACTCTAGCTCCAGAAACTGCTCTCCCCTGTGATCTGCCCCAGTACTGATAAGCTGTTTGCTGGCATAACTTTAGGTCATTCTCCAGGCCATATGGACATGGCATTCCAGGAAAAGGGGAGGTGTGAGCTGGGGGCATGTGAGCGTAGACTAGCACAGTGTGTCCAGGTAATGGCAGTGGTTAGTGTGATTGGAGCTAAGGTCTGTGCAGGGTGCACAGGAGGATACTAGGCTAAGAAGAAAAGTTTGGCCCAGATTGAATGGGGCCTTCTCATTTCATTAGACTTGATCCAGTACGCAGTGCAGAGCCACTAACAGGCTTTGGGCAGGAGGTTGAGTTCATCCTATTCCTGTTTTAGACAGAGGACTTCAGTGTGGGCATTGAGGGGGACTGAAGGATGAGACTGCAGGAGACAGGGAAGCTCTTTACAGTTTGCCTTAATCCAACAGAAAATAGGAAAGGGTCGACTTTGAGAGCTGGCAGTGGAATGAAGAGATAAGGAAGATGGGAGAGATTGTTTCAGAAATAAAAACTGATTTGATTAATTGGATGTAAGTTAGAGGGTGCAGAGAAAGTCAAAGGAGAGGTCTTCTTAAACATATGTAGAGAAGTTTGTGCCGGTAACTGAGTGAGAAACACAAATGGTAAAGCAGGTTGGGGACAGGAAAATCAGTTCTGTTCTAAACGTGCTGTTTGAGGACTCAAAGGAGAAGCTAAATACGTATCAGATAGGCAGGGGAAACTCTGGGAGTTAGTCATAGAATTTGCGAGAAACATCAAGAGTTGTTGTAGATTGGTCCAAGTCAAACCAAAGAGGAAACTGAACTTAGAGACTGAGTGACAGGTAGCAGGACTTAAGGGGATGTGATAAATGACTGGAAATAACTGGCTTTCACTGCACATCTAAGGTACTTAGGAGGCTTTAGAATATTAGTAGTTTCATTGAGATACAATTTAAGTAGCATAGAATTCACCCATTTAGAATTCACTGGTTTTTAGTATATTCAAAATTGTGCAACCATCACTACCACTTAATTTTACAACATTGTTGTCACCCCAAAAAGAAACCCTATGTTCATTAGTCATCACTCCCTGTTCCCCGCAATGAACTTAAAAAAGAAGAAGGTTGCTATTGGAAGGGTATGGTAAAGCTCAGTGTCACAAACAGCTGAGTTACCAGGCCTTAGGAAGAGAAAAAATACTCCAGCTCCGGGAGTCCCAGCAGAAGAAGCTGAAGGGCATTTTCTTCCTAGTGATGCTGATTGATGACTCAGCATTTACATCTCCTCATCTATGTGTCTCTGCTTAGTGGTCAAATTCCAGAGAAGGAAACTGAAAACGACCTCTGGTCAGGGAAGCTAGTCAGAGAAATCAAACAACAATGAAAAACCAGATGTCTAACCACATTGTTGGTCTGGAGGAAGCTGTGTCTGCGAAGACTCTATATTGCCTCCATTGAGAGTGAATGTGAGGTGAGGAAACAGTACATGAGGCCTTACTCTTCAACAAGTCTATACCGAGGGAACAAGAAGTAAAGTGATTGTGCACAGTGACCTTCTGGGCTGAAATATTTCTCCCACCTCAGCCTTCTGTGTAGTTGGGATTATAAGCACACGCCACCACACCTGGCTAATTAAAAAAAAAAAAAAAGGCCAAGTGAGGGTGGCTCATGCCTATAATCCCAGCACTTTGGGAGGCTGAGGCGGGTGGATCACAAGGTCAGGAGTTCAAGACCAGCCTGGCCAACATAGTGAAACCCTGTCTCTACTAAAACAAAACAAAACAAAACAAAAAAATTAGCCAGGCATGGTGACACATGCCTGTAGTCCCAGCTACTGGGGAGGCTGAGGCAGGAGAATCACTTGAACCCAGGAGGTGGAGGTTGCAGTGAGTCGAGATCGTGCCACTGCAATGCCACTGTACTCCAGCTTGAGCAAAAGAGTGAGACTTCGTACCTAAAAAAAAAAAAAAAAAGTTTGTAGAGATAGGGTCTTTCTATGTTGCCCAGCCTGGTCTTGAACCCCTAGATTCAAGTGATCCTCCTGCCTTGACCTCTCAAAGTTCTGGGATTACAGGTGTGAGCCGTTGTGCCCAGTCTTTGTTGTTAAGATATTATGTCCTTGAACATGTTTATAGGCTGGGAGACTTGGGGAAGAGGGGAGGTAATTAATGGGGCAAGTTACAGAAGAAGGCAGGTAGGGCTGATATTAAGGGCACAGGAGGATGATTAGCTTTGGAATGTAGGAGGCACACTTTTCCAAACAGATGGAATCTGTAGAGGAAGGGGAAAGGAGAGATCTGCAAACTGATGGCCTCTATTTGTCAAGGAAATAAAAGACAAAGAGGGTTCAGGGAGTGAGGACTTGAGGTGAGTGGTAAGTCTGTGACTCCTGCCTCAGGGTCAGTTCACTAAGGGCAGCAGGGCAGGGGAGACATCCAGTCAAGCTTAACACCATGGATTGTTTTTTGTTCCTTTTTCCTTCCATTACTGATTTTTTGACATTTTAATCTTTATCTCTCGCTCAGAGAATGAACTAGAAAAAAAAAGGGTAGTAGGGGGATCCAAACGTTAGAGGTTAGACTGAATGGAACACATCATAAAGTTTCTGCTCACGCTTTGTAGGGTGAGGATGAAGTGGGCAGAAAAGTAGCTTGTGAAGTTATTACTGGACTTCTCTTACCCATGTTTCTTCATCATAACCCCTAGTCCACAGATGTTAGTGTGTCTTACTACTCTCGAGGACTTGGATCCCTTGGTTCAGAAGATGAGGCGAGAGTGCAGTAGATCCCCTCAGTTGTAACTTTACTGCACAAGGGTGCACCAAATAGGCAGCACCTGTGTACCTGGTACCACCAAGGACGTACCAAGGAAGGTAGTTTATATCACTTCAAGGCAGGGTTGTTGGGACAACCAAGCAAAAATGGCATAAAGACTATATTTACCTTCTGTAACTGCAAGGGGTATCTGTGATGAACCAAAAGATGTCTCAGTTGAAGACCAGGTCACCCCAGATGAGATGTCAATAAGATCTGCCCACTCTGAGTTCTTTAGAAATGGAGCCTCCACTCTTGACTTCTGAATGGCTTGATTGCAGACAGGCCTTCCTGCTAGCACATCCCTAAAAAGCATCATTTCAGATTGCATTCTGTTTGAGAGAAATAATCAGGAATTAGATTAAGCAGATCTGAGTTAGAACCCCTATCCCACCACTTCCTAACTGTGTGCCATTGGGCAAATTACTCTTTCAGATCTTATTTCTTTGTATGTGAAAGGATAATTTTAAGACTAAATTAAATATGCAGGTGAAAGCATTAAATAAGGAGTCTGGCACATGTTAGGTGGGCAACAAGTGCTGGAAATAATGGATCATGGTATTTTATCTAAAGTTGTAGATGGGGGATTCACTCTTAAAATAATGTAAAAGACACTTGTGAAATTTCTCTGTGGATACAATGTAATATAAATGCAAAGTAAAAAGGAGTTGGTCCCATCCTATTACCAGAAAGAATACAAAAACAAGCAGCAACAAAAACAACAAACAAACTAAAAGGCTCCTGGTAATTCATAAGTACAGATTATGTTCTCTTAAAGACTAAGATTCAAATTGCCAAGGACATTATTTTTTGATAAAGCAGTGCAAGTGAATACAAAAGGTATGCAATACCCCTCTCAAGCAGCTCTAGGACTGCCTCCTAGCACTGCTGTCAGACCCTCAGTGACTCTCGGATGCCCCTGTCTTTTCCAGTCTTGTCTTTCACAGACTCCCCTTGACCTTTCAGCTCTGGTGAACTTTGATTCCTAGCCCTGCACTTGTTTTCCCCAGTTCAGCATTCTTACTACTGCCATTCCATTTATATCTCTCAAAATCCTTCTCCTATCCCTACCCACAACCCTACCAATTTTCTCATCCTTCAAGCCTTGATCAAGTCTCCTCTCCTTTAAAGCCTCCTCAGAGTCATTAATTTCTGCTCCAAAATCCCATGGTACTTCACTTCTGTAGAACGAATTTGGCCAGCTAATTAGAGTGGGCATGTGTCATTCTTTAGTCTGCTCCACATCTGAAGCCCTCTCCTTTGTTTGAGGGAAGCAGGGCCCACCTCCCCTGCAGTTAAGACAAGGGCACGTGACAGAGGCTGAGTCAATCAGATGCATTCACCCCACTTCGATGTGCAAGCCAGGGGTGTGAAGAGGCAGAGACCCTGCAGTCCTCAAGCAGTTGAGGGTGATGCCTGTGGAGACAGCTGCGTTTGGTTTCCTGAGTTGACGATGGCAGGAATTCTAGCGATAGTGGCAACTAGGCACACTGATTGGTCTGTGCTCTGTGGTAGGAGTGGCAAAGTCTTCACCAAGCTTCATGGCATGATATGGAGCATTGCTTATGGCTACGCATCTCCAAGACTGATTCTACAGCTTTGCTGAAGGTTTAGGGCCAAAAATAGAAGAATTCAGCATAGTAACTGCTGAAAATGCAATACAAGGCCACTCTGGGAATTTCTTACTGCTGTCTTTTTAGAACCTTGCCTCCAGCCATGGTTAGTGGGCCTTCTTTCTTCCTAGGTCTTGCCCACAGAGGAATTTATAGTGATATTTTTGGATGTTGCAATGTTTTGGGGTCAATGCTGACATTTGGGAGAGGGCAGAGATACTAGTTTTCCTGCAACATACAGGACAGTCACACACAATGAAAACTTATCTGACATCTCCTGTCCTTTTCAAATGTCCCCAGGTTAAAAAAAAACAAAACTGTTTATAAACTGAGTCTAGAATATGACTGTTTTACATATAAAAACAAAATATTTGGGATTTTTTGAGGGAAGATTGCATTTGGTTTGGAACTTCCCCAAAAGGTCTTCACTATTTAGAGATGTCACATCTTTAAGATGGCAACGGTGCATATGGTGTTGTCAAGGCGACACCTGAAGTTCAGAGCTCTAGCATCACTCCTGCATTTCCCAGATTCTGTGGGTCTCACAAGCATCTTACTCCTTCATGGTGTATTTTGGAGTGTACTTGTGGCCAAGCACTTGTATATTGCAGACATATATTTATGTGTTTCTTAAATTGCTTCCCTTTTATTCCTCCTTTATATTACCATTAGGAAAGTATATTCAATTTTTAAAGTTCATTTAAATTTTTTTTTCAGGATAGTCATGGTGGCAGTCTAAGTTACTTGTTATAAAAATGAACAAGTACCATGACCATGACCCTAAAGCACTGTCTTATTTTCCCACAGTATTTTATGCTATCCCCTTCCAAACATGTTTGTTACTAAAAATCCATCAGTCTGGGATTTTGAATGTTACTCACATTTTTAAGGTAACATACTTTCCTTCCTGTTAGTTACATACAAAAATGCTTTCAGAAAATGACTCTATTCTCACAATACCCATAATATCAACCCAAGATATTATGATATCTTGGGTTAATACTGATTGCAGTTTAATGGTGTATTTCAAATGCTGATGGGAGGGGGCTTTAAAACCATCAACTCTCAGGCTCCTGGGAGCTCAATTTCTCTCTAAGCTTTATTGGGTGTAAAACGCATATAGTGACCCAATCCAATCCGCAATCTACTCTTAACGGCCATGTGAGGGGAGAAAGCTTTGCGTTATCTCTCTGAATGCTTAGGATTTAAAGATAAATTAGCATAAGATTTGAAAAAGAGAAAAGTAGCATCATATTCTATTTTTCAGTTACCAATCATCAAATTACAGTTGGTGAACTTTTGAGCAGGGTGAGCTTCTTGGCCTCATGGTGAGAACACAAAAAGACTCCCCAGGACAAGGTGTCCTCGTGTGCAGACTGCAGATGGAGCCTCGGTGCCCAGACAACAGTGCCCAGAGGCTTTCTTACCAGTTTCAGGCCTCCTCTTAAATGACAGTCATTCTGAGGATGACATGTTGGGGTTAGAATGCTCCTTGACTTTAAAAAACAAACAAACAAATTGAACCTTACCATATTTTACTACTAGTCCTTGGCTGGTGACAGTCTTTGTACTACATGTTTTTGCTGGAAATCAAAGTGTGTTAGTCAAACGCCCTTTCAAAACCCTATAATCTTGGCATGCGAAGTCAGCATCTAAGGATTTCCTACATTGAATTGGCCTGTGTATACTAAAAGACTTGTGTGTATAGAAAAGGGGAGCTGTGGTTTTAAAGAAGACTGAGTTTTAATCACTTTGAAACTATAAATTAACGTAAGTTTCAAATAAATAGTCTGCCATTTTGATTTTATCAACTCAAGAATCCTTGACAGAAGATCCATGAAAGTGACACAAAATGTTCTGGAGATTTTAATCAAGATGAGATAATGCATATGAAAGTGAACAGTGAAGTCCCACACCAAGTATTTTAGGATCTGCCACTAATTTTCGTAGTCTCCAGGGCAATGTTTAATACAAATTTGCAAACAAATACAATAAATACACTCTGAAACTGGATTCTTGTATTTTAACAGCTGCTCCTTACAAAAAAGAAAAAATGGAAAATAATGGGCAACGTTTTAGAACAGTCATTAATAATTTTTCTTTTAAAAAATGGATTATACCTGTTTTATTTTGAGTCAACCAGATATAACCTGAGTGACCAAAAAGAATAGTGTTTTCTTTTCAAATATGCCACCTTTATATGCTGGAAATATATGCTTAAGATGTGATTCAACTGTGTCTGCCACACTGAAGAGCTTTAAAGAATCCTTTTCCATCGAAGTGTCAATTATTTCTCTCTTCTTTTCAGACAGCTGAGTACCCTCTCATCATTGTCAGTTCATCTAATTTTCATTTTAAAAATGCTAACAAGAAAGTGGCCTGGTGCTTTGTCTCTGTCTCCTTGTTTTCACAGCCCCCAGTGCAGTCCTTTTTTGTCCTTGTCAGTTTCATAAATTTGACCTCAAGGATGTTTTTCAGCCCGCAGAGCAACTTGCAGCTTCCCAGACTCTGCTGTGCAAAGATGCTTTTCATTTTGTGAGAACTACCTGTGCCTTGATGTGGTAGAGATACTTCCCTTCCAGAAATTCAACAAGGCACAGTAACTTGTTTTCTTGACTTTCACACTGACTGAAACATTTATTAGGCATAGTACTCTAGCAAAGTTGGGATATACAAAGATGGGTCCCTCCATTTCTGGACCTTAAGAACAATACATCAAATAAGATGGCAATAACACGTGCTGAATGTTATAGAACTGCTCCATCCAATAGAATAATTGCCAGTTAATTGGTGATTGAGCATTTGAAATGTGTTCTGAATTGAGATGCACCATTAATTGTAAAATGCACATTGGATTTCAAAGATTTACTGAAAAAAATGCAAAGCATCTAAATGTTTAAATACTGATTACACATTAATGTGATGATATTTTAGATATGTTGGGTTAAGTAAACATATATTAGAAAGTAATTTCAACTGTTTCATTTTCCTTTTTTTTTCATGTGGCTACTAGAAAACTCAAAATTACATCTGTTGCTCACATTATTTCTATTAGATGGCATGGTTATAGAAGTTTAGAGAGGAATGGGGGAGTATGTCTTGTATGTGTGGTAGGGCACACACAGAGGCATGGTGGACAGAAAGCTATCTGAGAGGAGGTGACACTGGAGCTAAGTCGTGAATGATGGCAGCCTCTACACACACACAATGGAGAAGGGATCTCAGCCAGCAGTGGAGAGGCAATGCTGTGTAATGGGCAAGACAGGTTTTGGATGACATCTCAGCTCCCTCTTATGATAAATTAGTGCAGTGCCTAGAACAAGAAAAAGCACTTAATAAGCAGTGTCTAATTTTACTAGGATGTATACGTCAGCAAGGTTAAAGGATGATTTAACGGATGTTAAAATGACATCTAACATAAAAGTCATTTCCTTAGCTACTTTAGTGGTGGTCCAGAGACACCACCACTAAAGCCTTGCCTCTCCTTTCATGTCACTGCTTATAAAATAACGGCTTATAATCTGAATGAATCCCAAATTCTACACAGTACATATTCAGGAACAGAGGGAAAAAAGTTGTACTTCCCAATTGATTTTCATTGTCCTTGTTCCATATGTGACTTTGTAACATTTGATCACCTTTTTGCATGTGGAAATAAAAGGTTAGAAGTAAAAATGGACCATTGTCTTTCC